CTGCTTGGAATCTGTTGAAACCCTTTGTCCAGGGGTGGACACACACACAAAAAAAAAAGACAGCTTAATGATCAGAGGTCAAAATTCAATTCGCCCAAATCATCCTTGTCTGCAGGCACAAAAGCACTCAGACATGTCCTTGAGCTGGGATTGAGCTTCTTCAAAGACCGCTGCAAAATCTTCAAAAGCCTCTCACATGGGAGCCCACATTCTCTGTCAAGACTCACACATGAGAGCGCAGGTCTAGCATACATGTGAGAGAGAACATTTGTCGAAGACTCAGCGTATTATGAGAGCACAGATGAGAGCAGATACATGAGAAAGCGCACCTCACAGAACACACAGATACATGAGCACGCATGTAAGAGCATACGCGAAAGTAAAGTGCACGTGTGACCGCGCGAGAGAGAGAGAGAGAGAGAGAGAAAGAGAGGGAGCACACACAATATGAGAGCACACATGAGAGCGCACATTACAACACACACACACATATTAAAGCAAGCACATGAGAGCGCACATATGAGAAAATGGTATGAGAGAGCACACATGCGAGAGCGCAACTATGAGACAGCACACATGAGAGCCTACTGCCACATTTGCACTTCACAGTCCACAATGTGCTGTGCTTGCCACACAATTTGCACTTGGCGGTCGCAAAGTGCTGTTTCTGCCACAAAATCTGCACTTCGAGGATCAAGAGTGCTGTTCATGCAACGAATTTGCCCATGGAGGTCCCCCAAAAAAGTGCCGGGTTTTTCCCAACGAAAACAGACACGTTCGAGATTTAGACAACTTTAGGCTTCAATACAAAACACCTCGAAAGGCGCCCTGGTTTGGTGATGGATCCATTCCTTTTGGGAGGTTCCAGTGAAACGACAGGGAGTGGATATTTTGGCAAGACCCCAGTTGCCATTCTGCCAGGTTTCGTAGCTTGTGTGCCTTGTTCCTCCACTCAAGTGACCATGAACAGCAAAAATCAAACCTCAGCAACCAAAAAAACAACATCCCGAAACCAACAAACTCCAAACAACACAATCCACACGTCATTGCCCTCCATGCAGGCATGTAAAAAGAAAGAACCCCTCGCGCACGAAGGTACGTCGTCCCGCGGTCCACGGGACACCGCGGTCGGCCCTCCGGTGAAAACCCGGCCCGACCCACCAAGCCGGGTGGCCCCGCCCCCGGGGACGGCCTACCTGGGAGGTCCAACTCGTCGCCGAGCCCCTGCGGCGAAGTGTCGCATCTCCACTTGGCCACGGGGATCCTCCTCGGCCTCGCGACGGTGGCGGCGCCTCGTTTCACGAAGCCCGCGAGAAGAACGGAGACATCCCGGATGGGTGGGGGTAGCGCTGGGAAGACTTGTTGGCTGTCTACCTTCCAAAAACCGAGGCCATTGGTTGAATAGCTGTGACAAAAGATCCGCAACACTTAGAATTGACGCCTGTGGATTATAGGTGCTTCGAGAAGCCAAAAAGCTGCACCGGGCATCAAAGGGAAGGTCTTCCCCGCCACAGCCCACCAAACCATCCCAACCAAGAAGAGGCAAACCTTCCCACATGCCTATTCCATGCGAATTTTGTGTTCACCAATGCCGAAAAAAGGGCCACCTATTTTGCTCACCTGGGAGTCTACAATTGGCTCATCTGAATAACAACTAGGTCGATTTTTGCGGTTCCCAGATTTGCATCACATGGTCATTTCGGTTGTGTTTGGCGATGAGGATCGGTGGATCGGTTGTCCCGTGTTGGTTCTCTTCTCGCCACCGAGGTGCTCGCGGTTACGTTGCATCCATCACCGGGCCTGAGCGGCTGGGCGGAGGTGATTTGGGGATGAGGTTAAGGTCGCCGTGGTGAGCAGGTCCGGGCACGCCCCAACTGCTCCACTTGAAGAGGCAAAATGTAGACCAACCTTGTGCCAGGTGCGCTTTCAGAATGTTTTTGGGCTTGATTTTCCCACAGCAAACTTGGAACTCTGGCGGTTTCAGTCTTTGCTTTTTGCTTTGCCTGCAGCCTATTTCTCAAGACGGTTGTTGGGCCAAAGATGAAAAGGGAGAACAAAAGCTTGAAGCGCACTTTGCCGGGGGTCAGCCAGAATTGGATGACTTGAGCAAGACATCCTCATTTGGTTGTGGGGCCAAAAGAAGACTTCTTTCCCGACTGGTTGAGGTGTGGGAGCAACCCTGATCTTCTGTGTCAATTTCTCGTTTTCATCCCTTTTTGTTCGTCTAATTCTCCACCGTCCAGGATGAAATCTTCGACATCGGCATTGAATCACCCGAAGAGCTTTTTCTTTTCTTCCGCAGACCATGCGCATGTTGATCTTCGAGCTGACCATGTGTATTTGTCCCATGAGAAGTCCCATCTGACCATGCAGTTCTCGCCGACGGACGGGATGGACACCTTGGAGCTACACAAGGACCAAGGATCTCGAAGCTGCATGAATTGATCGGTTGGGTTGTTGATTGTTTGCTTTCCTTGTCATCCGATTTCGCTCACTGGTTCTTCTTTGCGCCTTCAAGGTGCCAGAAAGAAAACAAACACCGATTCCGCCCTGCTGTGCGACCTTGCAGTACTCCATCAAGTCCAACTTGCAAGTGGTGTTGATTCGCCGACGCCGTGTCTGGGTTTCGTTGTCCGAACGGTGCAGACTCCGGCCGCAGTTCGTCCCAGACGTGTCTGTTGGTATCTCGTCATCTCCGATCAGGGTAGCACGTGCCGGCACGTGGCGGCATGTGGGAGCACGCGGCGTTCTGAGGTGACTTTGACCACATGCCGTTGATGCAAAAGTGGCTGCCAGAGAAAGAAGACTCTTGCTCTTGATGCAAACGTGTGCTGAAAAGTGCTCTCTTTGTTCTGTCTGAGGCTTTTGGGATCTTGGGGCGCACCAGTTTTGGACGACGCAGAAGGTGGTTTCGGTCCGTCTGATTGAACCGAATGAAGCCATTGTGAACCAGGTGGTGTTTGATTGGAACAAAATGCAAGACATGCACACGACCCTCAGAAGGTAAGTGTTTGGCGGCCGCCTGGTTTTTGGTGACAAGTTCCACTGGACGTCTTTCATGAAGAATACCCCATATTTACTAGGTTTGTAGCTTTTAGACAAGAGAATGGTTCGATGTAATTAGCAAGGGGAGTTGACCTTGAGCAGACCGATACTTCCTCGTTTCTGGAGTTTTGTGGGGTCGTCAAGCCTGAGATGCCAGAAACTGTGCACTGGGATCAGTAAAAAATACTCTCTGACTCGTTTTGGGTCACCGTTGAACACCGCTGTCAGGTTTCAAAAAGCCGAGGCTTGTTCCACAGTATTTGTCAGGTCCCCTAAATCTTGCGGCCCGGTATGCGAGGAGGTCCTTTCTCTCACAGCCGATGTCTCTCAGGAAGAAGTGCTTCCCTTCAACGAATGGGTGAAAGCATGGCACGCCAAAGTAGGCGGCTTGCGAGCAGCGCGTACCGTGGACACGTGTATTTCGGACACGTGTACCACGCTGAACATGCCGGATGGAGAAAATCCGCGCTGATGAACTAAAGAAGATAGATTGATGCCCAAGTGGTCTGGAGAGTGAGAATTTGTTCTTCCAGTTGAGATTTTGCATTGTGTGAAGGTCTTGAAACACACTGGCTCCTCTGTCTATCTATCTGCCTTGCCTTGCCAGGATCGGTTGTCTGTCCGCCTGCCCGCCTGCCCGCCTGTCGCCTGTCCGCCTGTTTATCCATCTGTCTGTTTGTCTGTCCGTCCGTCTGTCTGTCTCTCTGCCTGTCTGCGTGTCTGCCTGGTCCTGTCCTGTGCTGCCCTGCGCACTTCCAGTATAAAGAAATGGACTCCTCTGCTCCCATGATTGTCTCAGGGACTGTATCTATCTTGGCCCTCTTGGCCTGTCTTGGCCTAGTTGGGTGTCTATCTGTCTGTTTGTCCCTAGGGCTTACTTAGAGGAGAATGAATGCGGGTCCTTAGTTTGGGAGCATGCTCGGATTCACGCATGTCATCCTTCATGATGTTCTGACAGTTCCACTAGCATTCTCACCTCATCCTCTTTCACCTCGATGCCAGTGGATTTCAATGCCAGGCCACTTGACAGACGTGGTCTATCACACCTACTCCCACCATCCCCGCTTCATCAAGGACGATCGATAGCTGAGACATCCAGCCATCATCGAGGGCACATGTTGCACCATGAACTTATGAACTTGACCAGGCCACCTGAACACTGAGGCTATAAGCTGACCAAGTTTTTTTTTCTCGAGAATCTGCGAACCGTGTATCTATGTCACTTTCACCAGCAGCAATAGGGAGCTGTCTGAGTAACGAATATCATCCGCCGGGTGACCGCGGAGCCGCTGGTCGGCAACGCAGTTTTTGACAGCTGATTGGTCCTGACAGCATTCTTTCCAGATCGACATCGGATTTTTGTGTAGTGTAGCGGTCCACGTTTAAACAGGACGGGATTCCAATTCCATAGTTATACAACGGATTCTTTTTCAACCATATTGATTGGCTCTTCATCCATTGGCTCTCCACCCACGTCCTCGACCGGGAACAAACAAGACACGGAGACGTGTTCATCCATTGAGACAAGGTTGCAAACGGCTGTGGCTGTGGGAAGAAAACACATCCGATGGGTATATATGTACATTGACCCCCAGGAAACCTCTCCTGTGTTTTTTTGGCGGCATGACCTATGTCTCGGCTGTAGGCTTTAGGGTACCCTCAGCTCAGTATGCAATAAGGTGTTTCTACATACACAAAGACGTGCTTTACACTTCTGCCTGCATTTGCGGTCCTCAGTTGAATCTATGAGCCGATGACCCCCCCAGTTTGGCTAAAAGGGCCACCAAAAGCACGTGTATTCCATCTTTGCTTTACGGGTTCATACAAAGTCCCGTGGCTTGGCTTTGCTCGACTTGAGGAGCTTCAAAGCAACACGCAGTTCCTGCGGAGTCTCGGTGGAGTCGACGTTGGCACGGGAGGTTTAACGTGGGACGTTGGAAGTCACAACTGCTTGAGAAAGAACACATTGAGACCATGGACTTTCGGTTTAGTCACAGGTGCTTCCAACTGCACGTGCACCCCACGTGTTCGGATGGTCGTTTCACATGAAGGGATGCTCCTCTCGTCTTCCAAAGTCCAGGACATGGGAGCGTCCAGGACTGAGCGCGGTAACCCCATATCCAGTCATCGATCCAACCAAAGCCTGAAGAAAACCTTGCAAAGTGGCATCATCATGGCTATGGCTCAAAAATGGCTGCACACAAAACCCATGTTCAAAGGAAGACGAGAGGAGCATCCCTTCATGTGAAACGACCATCCGAAGACGTGGGGTGCACGTGCAGTTCGAAGCACCTGTGGTTCCTGCAGTTCGAGGGGATGGACTTTCCCCACCCGACCTCTGAAGAAGGGAGAGCAGAGATCAGAGGTGTTCAGAGAGATAGCAGAACATGCAAGAGGTGTTTCCAGAACCTGATCCGATCAACTTCCTTTGCAGTTGCGATTTGCTCTGAAACCACTGCAGTTCACCTGGGGCGTTGCATGTTTCTCTAAAATTGGCAAGGGTCTGAGACCTCAGAGTAGGGATGACGTTGATGTGAAGCGACGGTGACCGGGTTGGGAAGCAACATGACGGATCAGCGCGACCAAGCATGAGCCGCGGATTGCTTCCCGGGATCCGCGCAGTTCCCAAAGGGGGTCGGGAAAGAGATGTTGGGGAATCCTGATGCGTGGTTTGTGCGAACAGTTGAATGCAGACATGCTGCCGAAACTGAGCCATCCGCACCTCATGGAATTACTGCAGTCCGTGCAGTGCGAGTGCGCGTAGTCCAAGGTGGCAGCTGGCATATCAATGCCCGAAGCTCATGGCAGCTCGGCATCCGCCACTCTGGGGGTGAAGCCTTGGGGTGCGACCTTGGGCACAGCACCCAGGTGGTGAACGACCTGGGGCACCCAAATCACGGTGAGGTCGGATCAAAGGCCCCTCTCTATGTTTTTTTCCTCATCGGATTCCAAGCCTCCAAGCCTTAGCAAGGTTTCCACGTGCCACGTGCCACATCATACTCCCGTTGATGGAAGAAATCCCTAAAGCCCCAGCATCACTTTCCCATCAGCCGCACGAATCCTACGGCTTTTGTGGAGCCGCGCGGATTTCTTCCTTCATTTGCCCAAACGTAAGTGTGGGTTAGGCCTAACAGTTAGACAGACACAGAGATCAAGCCTACACAGAGATCGGAACCCTTTTTGGCCCAAGTGATGATCTGAGAAGATGCTCGGAGAAGATGGGATTGGGTAGAACATGTAACATCTAGAAACACGTCCGGTGAATGGATTCCAAGTTGGTCCTAGAAACGTAGAGTGTCAGGTAACTGGGCCTCCATTTTGGCCAGGGTGGAACATCGCGACTTCACATCCTTGGGTAACCTTTGAGTATGGAGTTTCCTACCAAAAGATCACAGACTGTTCTGCGTTATTTGCGTCATCTGTCCTCAAATTCTCTGTTCAGGCCCGCCAAAAGTACCTCGATGTGTGGACTGAAAGACTTGGCTCAGGTGGGCTATGAGGTGTCGGCCTCTGGTGAGGTCCACGTCCTGAACAAAGCACCTGGGAGTCGTGTGGACAACGAGTTTGGGCGGGCGATGGAGTGCTTTGATCGTGGTCGAACCGGTGACGAACCGATGGCTCTTCAGCCGATGGAATGCGATGGTCGCGTTGGGATCCAGCCCCCCAATCATTCCCTTACTGAACCACCAGTCAGATGAGCATGTGAAATCTTTAGATCCTGAAGGTCAGGAGAAGTACTGCTGGTTCAGGATGTTGAAGCGAACAGGGCCAGGGCCTTGCTTGGGATGTTTGGCCCGGTCGCTCGGAGAGATTCTCACTGCCTCACTCTGCCCAGCTGGAGAGAAGGCTAGTTGAAGTTGCGCATTCATGCGCAACCGAGGGTCGACCGATCCCGCTGCACGACCGACCGCCCTTGCCCGTCAAATCCACCACCGCTTTTCAACGGAGAAATCGACCAGCCCCAGACTCACCAGCCCCAGGTGGTCGCGCCTTCTTTGTGCCAGCAAAAATGCTCTGCTCCTTGGCGGCTCCATGTTTCCAGGGTCACAGAAGGCAAAAACAAAACAAGTCAACAGAGAACTCCGAAGTGTCCTTGCCGATGTTTGCCATTGTTGTTTGCCGATTTTGTCTCCGTTTTCTTGGATTTTTCTTTGGTCTTCACATGTTTTCACTCATCTTCACCGTTAGGAGATGCAGGGCTGTACCGCCTGGACCTGGCGCAGCACCGGGCCGCAGAAACATCAATGTCACAGGACCGGCTGTCAGCGTCCGGTCGTGCGACCGGTGCAAACGACCAAGGACAACGCCTGAACCCGCGGCTTCCGTTCCCTGCTCCTCCCCCCCCCCGCAATGGAGACCCGCCATGCACCGGACCTGTCACGCGAGGTCATTGTGTTCCCCCGACGTGAGTGATAAATCCGTTCGAAACGGACGCACCGTCCTCGAAAACGTCACGCCTCACGCGTTGACATGGACATGGACGAACCCATCCGGCGCAATGGACGAGGCCTTGTTGGGAGGTTTTGGAGCCGAACCGAACCCATCCGCCTCCGAATCTTCAGTCCCAGGATACAAGCGAAAGAGGTGAACTTCACCAAGACGAAGCAGCACGACGTCTCCGGCAGCTCTGGCTTGAAACGGTGAGTGGCGGGCAGGCCATCTATTTTTGGACAAAGATTCTCAGAATCTAAGAAGAGCCTTTGGGGGTGCTTTGTAAGCACGGAGCTGGCTTTTTTTTCCGTCCACTCCGAGCTTTCCATTTCTTGGGGTTTGTGTATCGGCTGCCGAAGCATCTGAGAAGCAGTTAGTTGTGAGACGTGAAGCATCTGAACTCTGGTGACTTTGGTCCTTGTGAAGCATCTCTCCACACAGATTACTAGTAACAAGAAGCTATTAGGAACAAGTGCATCGCTACTAGTAGCAAGTGCCTTACTAGTAGTAACAAGAAGCTAGTAGTAACGAGTGCCACGCTAGTAGTAACAGGTGCCTTACTAGTAGTAACAAGAAGCTAGTAGACACGACACCAGAACGTCCGACCGAAATCGGCTTCGCTAAACCGTCGAAGAGAACCGTGCCCAGGTCGTCCCTGTGAAGAGAACGTGCCCCTTGGACGATTGGGCGTGGGTCAGCGTTGAAGGATGGATGTTGAGAGAATTCCTTTAACAACTATGACGTTGAAGCCGAAACCACCCGACAGTGTGTTTTACTGGAAGAAGGAGAAATGGGCACCTGTTTCTTGCCGCAGGTGGTGAAGTTATCATCAACTATTGAAAGATACTGAACACCTCACCAACCTTTCGAACGCATTCAGACATATTTGGCCATAGTAGGGGATATTTTGGGATGATGCCTGGTCAGATGTTGGGCAAGATCATCTCCAAGTGTTGGCAGCTGGAGGTGGCCTGCAAAGTTGGACCCTGCAGTCCGATGGTGCATCTCTAGGAGCGGCTTTCCGGTGGATCACCTTCCCCTTGGATCGTTGTCGATTTCTTGAGATTCAGTGCCAACTGTCAGACCGAGCCAGTGGATCTCTCGCGGATCTTGCTCCTCATTTTGGGTTCTCCCAAAGGCTTCAAAAAAGAAGCAAACACCATGCACGTGATGGCGGTTGGTGGAGGTTCATCTCAGGATTGGATCGTTGGATCATCCATGAGGATCATCCACAGATCCTATCCACAAGAGGTAGGTTTTCCCCAAACAGTTTACTGTCGGGGTTCTCTCTCAGGAAAAAAGAAGCTGGCCACAGACTCTGGCCGCGCCGGTGAACACTGTGTCTGGACGTTGTCCTCCTGTTGTCCTCTTCTTGTGCTTCTTCTGGTGTGCAGCTTGGCTGTGGCTGCCAGCCGGTCTCCAGACCTTGTCCTCCTCTTGTCTGTTGTTTCTCTCTTTTCCTCCTCTTGTCTTCTTCTGGTCCTCCTGGTGTCCCCCAGCGCAATCAATTGGTCGAATGCAAGAAAGCAATCGCACACGTGCAAGCCTTGTGAGGCACCTAGTGAACCTAGGCGCCAACAGGCAAGCGCAGTACGACCGCAGTACACAGCCTGTCAGCAGTCGGTCGATTTCAAGGCATGATTATTGGTGGCCCAGTGGTGATCAAGATCTCTACGATTTGCCGACGCACCAGGCGCTGAAGCGACGGCTTACGCGAAGTTCGCACGCCTTGATTCATCGTGAGGTGGAAACCAATTGTACGAACATCCGGATTGTTTTGTACGACCCTGCAAGTGATTGGTAGGTAAAGAATAGTATGAGTTGCAGACTGAAAAACAAGATGAAACGAGACAAGACGTCACATGATCGTATAGTCTGGAGTGCATTTGGGGACATGCTACTCTGGGCCCGGTTTTGTTGGACGGTTGGATATCTGAACCTTGCCCTCGTCGGACGACGTTTAAAGTTTAGATGTTTCTACTCTTTGTTTTGGGTCCTGACCGACCAAGCTAAATCTCTGGATGGGTTCAGACAGTTGGTGAAAGACACTGAGTTCAGATGATGAAACCATCCTTGGGGATCTCTGGATTGGGATCTCGGACAGGAGTCTTCTCATCAAAAAGCAGCCACTTCCCATGAGGAACAAGGGCAAGTTGATTCGAAACCTTCACTGTCCGAGTGCTGCAATTCATTGGGACAATGACCACTTCCGCCAGAAAAGCGAATGCAGTGTTTCACTGGTTACTGGGTTCATGTCATCCTACAAGTTTCAACCATGGGGGTTTGGGCATCTGACAGGGCAGCTTAGGGCAGCTCATGTTCGAGCAGCCAGAATAACCAGAGTAGCTCAGGGTATTGGATCTGCCCCCAAGCTCAGTAGCTGAGTAGCTGAGTCAAGCTAGTTCTTGAACATGTCTTACAGACCAGACCTGTTGCAAGACCAGACCTTGTCTCTGAAACTCCGCAGGATTTCTTTTCACCCTGCTGTGAATCAAGTCTTTCAGGGTAAATACCAGAGTCACCAGAGACTGAGGCACTGAGACTAGCGCTCAGTGGCGTTCCATCCACGGATCTTCCCGCTCCACCGCGTGCGGGGTGCCTCCAGCGCCGTCAGGCGCCTTCAGTGGAGGTTCCCAGCTGCAGCGTGACGCCGCGAAGGCACGACCTCCGTCGGTGAACAGCAGGTCCGGTGGTCCGTCTGGCGGAGGGGACTTCCATGGATTCCTCTCATGAAGGAGAAAAAGTGTATTCCTTCCACATTTGAGATTTTTCTTGGACTTCCTTCCATGGATTCTTTTCAGATGTCTTCGGATGATGGGGAGCAGCTCTTTTCTTCTTTCAGATGATCAAGCAGGTCATGGACCTAGAAAGGTCCCCGCGACTTTTGGGTCACGATCAGATCGTGGGCGGTCAGTTGTGAGACAAGACCTAAGGACCTGGTTTCATGATCTTTCATGTTTCAAAAAGCTACCTGCAAAAATGCACACCGATAGATCTGAACTAGACAGTTTGGACATATACGGATCATTTCCCCTGCTGACAGCCTATTATTGGCCCTACTTCTATTCTGATCTCCGTTGAAAGCTGCAGCTGGCTGCAGCTGGCATCTTGCACCACAAATCAGAAGCACCATGAATACCGGGGGTTTCTGAGCCATTTTCATATTTTTCCGATTGCGCAGATGAAAAGGCTTCTCGTGAAAAACTCCGGGGTGAGATCGCGTGACGTTACTCCGGCGTCCGCAACCGTTGCTCCAACCGTTGTGAACCGTTGTGAACCGTGAGTGCATGGGTGCTCGTATGGCCCTTCTATTGAGGAAAGCTTTTACAGGTCTGAATGGATGCGTGTCAGATTCGTGTTTAAATAGTGTAGACACGTGACTTTCCAAGTATCCGCACGATTGGGATTGGTGTTGGTGGATGTCGCCGTGCGTCAAGCCAAGTGTCCACAAGTGTCCCGCCGTGGCACATAGCTTGACGTTTGCGGGCTGCATAGCTTGTTTGATTCGTCCAAGCCTGGCTGCGCTGCTCTTGGCTGCCTCGATCGTTCTCCGGGATCGAGTGCATTCTCGCCTCGGTGAGCGGGCTCACTCGGGCTCCGCTCGGGGGTCGCCTGAGGCAGGAGTGCCAAGTCAACGCCACAGGAGTCGTAAAGGTTCAGCCCAGGCGCGGGAGCTGTTCGGTGAACCGGTGAAGCGGGAGCTGTTGAGGTGCGGAAGTGGGGGGTAGACAGGGAGAACATCCACTTGGAGCTTATAGATCTTAGAGCTGTTGACGTGCGGATCTGGAGGAAAAGTGAAGATCTGCAGTTCTCCTGTTTCTTAGCTTACCACTGATAGCTGTAGGCAACACGGTGCTCAGGCTTGGTGATTGTAGTGGAGCCTGGGAAAGGCTTTACAGCCGAACTCATGGAAACAAACTGTCAAGGGTCCCGAGCAGGTTTACGAAAAGCTGTGGACAAGAGATGATGAACAGCCGATACAGGTGAATGAGGAACGATTGGAACTCAAACATGTCAGTGCATGTGGAGTTTTGGAATGCATAAAAGTGCTTGCCAGTTCTGCGTTGCTCACCAATCTCTGAGCAGTGTTTCTCGCAGTTTTGAGGAATGAGTTCTGGAACAGCCGGGCTTAGGCAGCCAGAATTCCAGGATCCGCTTTTTTGGTGCCCGAGACAGACCAACACATGCAGCTGAAATCAAAGCGTTTTTTTTTCCGCGACAAATCGGAGCCGTGGAACACCACCAACGAACTTGCCCGAAAAAGCAAACACCGGTGGCAGCTCCACCGGGGGCAGCTCGCGCCCACTCGGCGGCCTAGGCCGGCGCTGCCGGGCCCTATGAGCTGGATGACGTTGCTGTGGCCCTTCAGACGGAATATGCAGGACACCCATCCCTTGGCGCACCTGCCATCGCCACTTGGACAGCATGGAGGAAAGGCCAAGGGGAGCTGAGGTCCACTGGTAGCATTGGAAGAACTCTGGAGCAGTATGAACTCTGTTGGTCGTGGTGGAAACAACCAGAAAAACAGCTAGGTAAGTATAGTTTCCGTGCTTATGAGCCCAAAGAAACGGGTGGGTATTCTAATTTGTAGATGCCAGGGGAGGTGAAGGGTTCAGACCCGATTCTTATCCATAGAATTTCATGCAAAAGTTGGGCACTGCTAAATTCGATCAGTCACGTCTTCTTCCACCCCTCTAACACTTTAATTTCTTTTTCTTTGACCTGTGGACTTGAGACTCTTTTGATCTTTGAACCTTTCCTTCCTTTCTCCCTTCCTTTAACATCGTCATCAGCCATCCGACACCGGTGCGACCTCGTCTCGTCTCCAGGGACTGCTGCGCACCCTTGGAGACACCGGAGGAGAAGAGCTGTGGAGGGGGGGATTCAGCGGACGCGGAGCCCAAAACCATGCAACACGTGCCGCCTGGAGTGACCATCGACTGGGATGCCCTGGGTGACTGGATTGGCCCACCAGTGTGGCGTTCTGACATCGATGATTCCGAGTAGATCTGACTGTGTTGGCATCATCCGCATGGCACCTTTGGTACCATACGTGTCCAAACAACACGAACCCCCCGTTTTTCCCTTTCAACACCGGGGGGGGGGGCGTGTGTTGTTTGTTCCTTTTGAACGAAGACAGGCGAAGCTCTGCACCAAGGGTTCGCCCATGCGCAGTGGGCAGCGGTGCCAACAGTCACTGGGTACGTTTAGATGCGTGCGCGTTGTTTCTGTGTTTGCTACGTTCGTAGCTTCTTGTTTCTAGTAGTAATGGCCTCCAACCTAATCGCGATGGCCTCCACCTAGTAGCTTCTAGCTACTAGTATTTCTTCGGCTTTTGTTTTGTTTCGGATTCGTTTTGGCCTCTCGCGTTGATTCATCGGAACGTGTGTGGGCTGCTGGATTCAGTGGTGTGCATTCAGGGAAGGCTTTGATCCGGGAGGGTCTTGGGAGTGAGGATTGTGGCTCTCCGGGTTATCCATTGTCAAAGAAACCACGGTCCGTTGCCAGCAGCGGTCCGTATGATGTTCTGATGATTTTCATCGACGTTTTTGTGAAGCATCTAGAGGACTCTCCCCAGAATGGCTCATGTCAAGGCTTGGTTTGTGGCGTGTTGTGGCTCCATTCTGAAGCTTTTCTACAGAGGACTAATCAACAAGATCTTGCTGCAGCATGCTGCTCCTAGCTTTGCATCCTGTATAGTATCTTTTCATCACTCATTGATCACATGCACTTTCTGCAACACCTAAATCATAAATCTGAAGAGAAGCTTCTTTTGGCACGAGAAAAAACAACTGTTGGTCTTATTTCCGTGCCGAGCTGGAAGGTTCCATTCCATTCTCCCTGGATGGATTAGATGGGTAAACTTCCACCAAAGGGGATATTTTGAGGGTAGACATTGTGAGTGCTCAAGAGCCGTGGACACTCAGGTCTGTGCGGCTGTACGGTTGGGTGTGGGTGTGGTACACTGGGCGTAGCGGTAGACCAAGCTGATGGAATTCGAAGCAGCCCTGAACCTCTTCCTACATCTGTCTATAGACTCTAGTCGTGACCAGCCTTGACTCAGGATAGAAGCTGGGGATTACGGATGCTGTCCGGAGGAACACGTGAAAGGCACGGGTTCAGCCCGGAAGGAAACGAAAGTGGCGCGGCATCATAACGGTCCTTGATTAACTTAATACTTACTGTAATTATGCTGAATTGACCAATTGACCGTCCTTTTTTTTTCCTGTTTGCCAAGCCCGCTTCCCCGCGGAAGCCGGCCTGTCTTGTTGAAGCAATTGAAACAATTCCAGTTCTATCCTCCAAGGACCATTGACGGCACTAGACATATCTGTACAACCACAATTAACCATATATTTACAATATATACAATATATATATATACATACACATCATAGACTATACCTTTTTGACATCCATCACTCGAAATGATCAAGAACAGGCTTTCAAGACTTCTGAATTATGTGGGGTGGTTTGTCAACTTGCTTATATGGAGGCAGATCAGTTTACAAGTGTTATGCATCTTTTCACAACCCTAGTTTGCGGAGTTGAATCGCCGACAGATTTGGGTTGGCCCACCCTTGGGCCAACATAATTTTTCAGATTGACATTGGAGTTGGACCATTTCTTGGAAGAACGATTCCACTCCTGTGCTTCCAGGGCTACCCATGTCCACCCCGGCCGGTGATGTCTCGGTCCACGGCCCATGTTCCACACCAGCTTTTGACAGGTGATGATGCAGCGCAGAGCTCCATGTCGGGGAACCTGGAGGGAGTGCCCCAGCACTCCACACTTGGCGTCCGTGACTTCTTATGGTATTTGGATCGAGATGAGCAGAATTTGGTTGGAAGGGCAAAGACACAGACCCCCTTTTGAAAAGACCATCGGTCGTAAAGAGAACTAACAGGACAGGCAAGATAGAGTGCATCAAGGAGTGAGACTTTTGCCATACCAAACACCGATAAAGAAATGGAACCTCTCTCCAGATGAGTTCAACCTATCTATGAGCAGCTGGGGACATAATCATCCTGGGGTACCAACATATGACCAATACTCCCAACGATCTTTTTCAGGGTTGCAGGATGAATCTGGATGGTTTGGAAATCCACACAGTAGCATGGGAGTGAGAGATTCTCCCAGCGAATTTGACCCTTGCCCAGTCCTTTCCGAAGCACTATGGCCATGAGAGTGATCTTCGTGGTGCTTGGTGTGATGCTTCAGTTGCAGGGGGTGGGCACTGACTTGGGAGACATCCGCTCGACGTAGGCATTGCGTGGCGCTCTTCCGCGCCTGGCATCCTGAACAGAAGCTCTTGGTCCGAGTGCCCAGGGACAGCAGTTGGCAGTGATGAGTTGTTTTGCCTTTTCTGTTTCTTCGCGCAGGATTGGTATGATTCAGTGTGATTGAAGAGGGTTTACTGTACATGATGTTGGATGCTTCAATGTTGGTCGGGAGTTCTTGTTGGAAAAGAGCTGGATGTGCTTGGGGTTGTGGAATGTTGGTGCCGTTCGGTTTGGAAATCCAACAGGTCCATGGGCGTGGGCTCCACAAACGGTAACTAGTAACTAGCCTATGCTTTGTTTCTTTTGCCTGGTCTGATGGCTTTTGGCTCTCTTGTTGAAGAATCATTGGTGCAGAGCTTGGTGCAAAGCTCTTTAGTTGGCCTGCAGTTCTGAGTTGGCTAAGTTTGTTGTGATGGGTTGGCTTGCGTGCCCTTGGTTTCTCTCAAACCTTCGTCTTGTGTGGCATACCAGGATACCGCTTTTCTTTTATCAAGGTGCATGATCTGCGCCAAACCGGCTTTTGGTGTGGTTTTTGTAGATGACTTCTGGTTGATGTGATGTTGAAATTCTCTTTTTTGACCAGGAGTATTTTTGGAACCCCTTCAGGCATTATCCCTAGACGGCCCAAACTGCAGCCAGAACAAACAGTCGACGGTTTGTCGAACAAAGAAAATAAGACATGAAGGACGTCAATCGCACAAGTTGCTTCGTGCCCAAGTACTGCACCTACTCGGCATAGGTATCAAAAAACAATAAAAAGAGCATCAAAAAAAACAAAAACATGATAAAAAAAGTAAAAAGCGAATCAAAAAAGAACATATTTCTTGATAGGCCTCTTCTGCTGCTCTCCTGGCCTTGTGGTCTGCGGGTCCTCTGGTAATGTGGTCCCTTGGTCCTTTGGTCTGGTCCCCTAGTCCTCCGGTCTCCTGGTCCTCTGGTCCTGTGGTCCGCTGGTCCCCTGGTATCCTAGTCCTTCTGTCTCCTGGTCCGCTGGTCTTTTGCTCTCCTACGGCGCTCGTCTGTCGATCTCCTGGTCCCCTGCTTGCGCAAATAGAGGCTTGATTGCTTTCTACTAGAGGCAGCTCCCTGGGAAGAAAGTAGGTACCCAACGATAAGGTAGCCGTCCAGTCATTGAGTAGCCCTACTCGAAAAATGGTTCACCAGTGGAAATAGCTCCCTACTAGGAGGGAGCTCCTGACTACCCCAACCATCCTCAGTGGGCTAGAATATTACTTTTTTGATTACCTTTTTACTTTTTTATAGATCCCCGTTGAATTTTTTTTTGATTCTATTTTTATTTTTATTTTGATCCCTTACCCCACCTACTCAGCAGCGCGTTCCAGCGAGTGCAGAGATTCGCTCTGAAAGCATTTTGGGTGCAGAGATTCCAACCTGCATGGGTCTCCACCAAACAGTCATGGGTCTCCACTATGGGTGTGGCCCACCTGTGGCCCACCTTCTTTTGGTACCCGTTCTCGACCCTTCGTCGCCAGGAATTGCAGTACGAGAAGAAGGCCGAGATTCGCCCAGATTCGCCGGGGTCCGACGCCGCCGATGGAGCAAAATCTGTGGAAGGGGGGGGTGGAAGGGGTTGGCGCCCCACCCCTTGAATTGATTCAAAAAGAGGTGGTGGAAGGGGCCCCACCAAAAAGTTTGCTCGATCACTCACAGAATGAGTAGACCGGTGTACTTTAGTGGGGCGTCCAACTGGGCATCTCCCTAGTCGAATATAGTGGATTGCTCGTAGATGGGGAAAGAGGCTGTTCAGGCTGGAAGCTTGAGACCTGTCGAATATCTTTTTGCAGCGCAGAAAAACATGGATTTGGACGGCCCTAGAAGAGATGAAGGAAGATGCTTATGGCAGGGGAATCTAGGCTTCCCTCCTTCCAACCAGAGCTCTTTGGATTGAATCAGAGTAGTTCAAATTCTCAGGTTGTGCCAAAAGTGCAGAGAAGCGCTCGCGGCGGCCCATTTCCCTCACCACTCCAACAGTCTGAAGATTCCATTTATTTCATGTCCCGAGTGTTTCTGATCAAAACCGTGACAAGCAGTAGCACGTACTCGTCCTCAGTTGATAAAGCATATTGTCCATTCTCCAACCATGAAGCTACAGACAGTGGGATGGCTTGTTGCCCAGATGTTGCGTTGTACTGTACTGTCGACATGTGGATCATCTGGGGTTGACAGTGGATGGGACATTAACCTTTATAAAAAAACAAATCCCGTGTCCCTTTCAAGGGCTGGCATTCTTACATGATTGGGGAGGAAACGGTATCTTTCCTCTTTGCAATCTTTTCATTAGCCCATTGACGCCAATCCCTTTGAAATCAACAAGCTGCCTGTGAAGCCAAAGGACACTGTGACACTGGGGTTTGACGAGCTCTTTCATCAACACATCAAGTTCTAAGGGTTTCTGCACAGATTGCATGATGGGTGAAACGATCTACAAACGGATTTGACCAGCTCAGTTCACGAAACTACACGATGTTCGAAGAGTCTTGGCGATCCAGGCAAAAGGGCACCCACCCTCCCAGTGGGCAGGCTGGCATCTTTGCCTGTGAGAGCTTCGGCCTCTACAGCAGCCAGGAAGTGGAGCTCTTTCCAGGGTCAGGGCCCTGGCAGCGTGACCGTGGTAATTGTCGGACATAGTCTCCCGTCACGAGTTCTCAGGACTGCCATGGGCCAATCAAGAACAGAACGTCTGGATGAAGCACCGATGGTCGAATTTGGGACATCCGCTAGCTTTCTTTGATGTGGGCACCAAACTACTAGCAGTTTTAAAAGCTGGCAAAGTTTCCTTCGTGGCAGGGGTGCTTGGGGTGAGACCTAGACGATCAAGGTTTGGATGCCCAAGGGTAGTGGAGCGGTTCTTAACATGATCTGGCCACATAGCCACTGATGTGGGCGATTTGCCGTTTTTTCGGTGCCATTCTCACGCCGGTGAACCACCGTGAGCAAATGGTGTACCAACGTACCAGTTTGCCAGATGCTTGATTCTGCTTGATGCACCGGTCTGATTTAGAACACCTTCAAGTCCCTTTTGATTCTTCGGTGAACGAAGGGATGCATTCATCCAGGCAGCCGTGGGTCGCGATTCAACCTGGTCTTGGTTGCTTCGGTGAGAGTCATAGTGATCACAAGCAGATCATCATCTTCGGGACCCCAAAAAGGTACTGTATTTGAACCACTGCCACTCTTCCTTTGCCGCGCCGCACCGGTCGAACCCCACCACGCTCTCCGGGCCCGGGCCAAGCAGTCGAACCTGCGCTCCAAGGGTGGTCTCTCGACGGGTGCACAGTGCCATGATGTGTGAGATCGGCGGCATGTCGGGCACCCCATTCACACCAGGTCGCTCCAGTTTTCGGGGCGACGGTCGCGACTCACGTGGTTTCATCTCACGACGGTCTCGGCGGTTAGTTGCTGAAGGTTCACATCATCACGGTAAAATCGACGTTCGACTCCCCGGAACGATGTTTCCACGTTTGTTTCGAGCTTCCCTGGACCGTTGTCTTTTTCTTTTGTATTTTTGTCCAGGTGGGCCGGAGGCAGAGGAGAGTTAGAAGCGGGCCGTGTTCCGGCCATCGCCATCACGTAGCTCTCAGGTTTGGGGAATGTTTGTACATGTGTGTCACACTCACAAAGGACTTCGCTTCCAGCGTCGTTCTTGCACCAGGGTCCTTCTTCACCAATGGGCCAAGGTTCATCACCGCATTGAATCTGGGCATTTTCTTAGCTTTCTACAGGCGGGAAAGGGTGACCTGGCCAGGCAATGGGGACCGGATGCAAGTTCAGGTCCACGCTGCGGCGCACGTAGCGCAACACTCGCCGCAGTGCGACGCTTGGGAGGATTGTGAATTGTAAAAAGGGGGAAGTTCAGTCGGGACTGGGCGGATTGAAGTATAGTTTCAGCAGCAGGTAGAGTTTGAAGTCTGAAGAAGGACCCCCGAAAGATGTAGGACACTGGGCCCCGGGGTGCGAAGCAGCTTAAAGCAGTGTAGCGAATCCTGCTCTTGGACATGATAAAGGTACACCCAGAAACACTAACATGCAACCTGAAAACCACTGGTTTGTAGAGGAAAATCGTCTTCCAAGGTTCCATGCCATCAGGTTCCATGTGGGTCTCTTCTCGGGTGTACATCCATTGGTCTTCCAGTTCAAGCAGCTGCCCCTCCAAAGAAGCTTGCGAGGTGCATCACAGGCCTTCCGTTCAAGGAAGGCCCCACCTCGGCATTATCCAAGATGTTTGAAGTAGTTTCAATATAAGAAGCGCCTGTATTCAGCCTGATTAGTTTTAACATGTTCTAGCAAAAGATGCACACTTTCAAGTTTCAAGGTCCAACGTGCAACCTCAGCACCAATTCCAAAGCTGCTGCATGCCCTTGTCAAAGAGTTAAGCATCATCCAACGCCAAAGGTCAGGTGATGATTCCTCAAGCCGCTCAAGGTCTTTCTTCCTTCGGGATGTGCCTCAAGCCGCTGCTATGCAGACTCCTCAAGTTGTTTGTGAATCTGAGAACCTCAAGAAACTGGTACGGATGACATAAAGAAAAGCAACCTCTTTGCCCCTTTGCACAGGTATAGTCCCAACAATGGAGGGGAACAATTTGTTTGAAAGCCTTTCTGCAACTGGTAGTCTGACATCTCATAGGCTGTTCAAGCAGATGGTAACGTCATCCAGACAACACCTTGTGATCCTCAGCAAACAACGGCACCTCTCATAGCTCCACTCAGCCTATGGGTGCCTCGGCTTTGGTGTGCCAGCGCAGGTTAGGACACGCTCATATGGAGGTTAGGACATTGTCCGGTGCAACTGTCACCAAGCTTGATGAGAATCAGTTGCGTTGCATGGTGGACAGTGGACAATCTGTGACAGACCTGAAGCAACACCTTGCAACTCAGCTCGGATATTCGAGGTTTCGGCAACGACTCTTGAGCGAAGATGCTGAGCTGCAGGATGATATGCCACTAAGACCATTCCCTGGTGTGCAGATGGTGATCCTGGACTTTTGTGCTCCAACTGAAGCATTGAAGGAGAAGCTACATGTTGCCTGTAGAGAGAACCGGGCTGTTGAAGTCCAACGTCTGCTTCGAAGTCCATTGGATCCTCATGCATATCCGGATGGATGCCTTGGGCCCTTTATGGATCCAGCTTTGTGTGCTGCATCTCAGAGTGGCCACCTGGAAGTTGTGAGGTTATTGCTTGAGGCTAAGGCTGACGCGAATGCGGCGACGTTCAAAGGAAAGACAGCTTTGCTGTTTGCCGCCGAGAATGGCCATCTGGAAGTTGTGCACTTGTTGCTTCAGGCAGCCAACAATGCAGCATCATGAGACTGCCATGTACCAGCTTTGGTGATGGTGCAGATGTTGTATCAGTCCAATCGAAGCAGCCTTTTCGGCTGCCTCCCTTGGCTGTTTTCTTGCGATGTCTTCACTTGATGTCCGATCAACATGTTTCTTTGGGAGCAAGGACGCTACTAGTAACAAAGGGCATCGCTACTAGGAGCAAGGACGCTACTAGGGGCTCCTGGCATCGCTACTAGGAACAAGGACGCTCACACGATGGGCGGTGGATGGGCGTCCTTCGAACTGTACCTGACACGTCAAAGAACGGAGTGCACCAATGAAGCACCGATATACCCACGCGCGGGCCGAACATGGGAAGCACCAGGGCTAGTAGTCTTCTTGGGTCCATGTTGCTTGGTGGTCATGGGAGGCAGGTCTTCTTGGAACTTGAAAGATCCAGTTGAGAATGGTTGGAAGAGTGGTATCCAGAATTCCTGGCCGTAAACACTTGGTGCTGGAGCAAATCCGCGATTTTCAATTCCATTCTCCGGCTGAAACACCGGTCCCAAATTTCCGGTGATCTTTCCCGTTTTGGACCCTCTGTTTGGCTGGAACATGTGAGCTCTAAAGTGCACGCCAGACTGTACTTGTATGACGTTGCACGCCAGAAGAACCGCAGGCAGGTGATTCTGGAGGCGGAGTTCCTGAAGTCCGCCTGGGTCATCAAGGCCGGACACATCAGTCTCTCTGGAGGAGATGACGAACGGGAAGCATTGGACAACAAGAGATAGTATATCGAGGGACATTCCTTAGACAAACAAATATCATAGAAAAACTAAGTAGACATGTGTTTTGTACATATTCATATACATATATACACATACAGTATAGTGTTGACATGAGATGGGTAGCTTCATGTCAGATCCCGCATTGGTCTGTGCAATGTATTGCGCCACTTCTATCCAACTATTCTTGCTAGCAATGGGGGCGATAAACACCTGCATAATGAAAGGTTACTTTCAGCCCGCCTAGAGTTGATCAACAAATCTGCCTGCAGAACACAGCACCAACACCCCTCTGCTCCGAACTGTATTCAGTTTATGGGGTGCAGAACAAGGTGAAGCATCAAAGGGATATCGCAATTCCAAGGCAACTGCATACGGTGATACAGTTGTTTTCCAACGCTGATTCACATTATCTTGTGTGTTCTAGGTCGTGGATGAGAATGTGATTGGAGTATTCTGTTTGCAATCTGGTGAATCACTAAAGAATCTATGAACTTTGGAACTTATCGATTGTATCGTGACTTTCGAAGGACTCATTGAAAAACGGGCTCGGGAGGCTTCCTTTCCCAGGTCTGGATGGCCAGTCCTTGACCCTTCTTGGCCCAGCGAGTTGGCTCCAGGTGGATCCGGATACCGTTTGGAGTCCCCAGCGCTTGCGGCCGATTCTGCACAGCCAACGTTGGGGAGCCGCTTGGACGCCGGACGAAGCAAAACAGTGAAGTGGTCGGTGCCGGTATGGGGTACAAGAGGCCGCTGTGGCCTGCCCAAAAGCATGTCAAGCTTTGATGATCCAAGCTTGGAAGTCAACTGGGGCAGTGTGAGGTTCATATTTTCTATTTTTTCTCAGCGACATAAGGTGTCTTACGTGATCCCGGACTCCAGGACCGTCGGACGGTGACGTCTGGACATCCCCACCGTGAACGGTGTGGGTTTGGTTCTTCACCAACTGTTTCGGTCCTGGACCGGACGGCGGCCGGCCTTTGAATGCGAAGCGCATTCGGAAGGTTGATGGGATTTGTTGGCTGGAACGTGAATTTGGAACCCCTGCTAAGACTAGACTAAAGACGGCGGAATCGCAGAGCAAGACTCGGGTTTCTGTGCTTCAGCTTTGTGGAATTTAGATGCATAATATATAGTTGGGGCTGGTGGCTGTGTGCTCGGGCATAGGCACCCTAATGGAATAGTGAAGCTTGTAGGAACACGATGTGAAGCTTAATTACGATGCAGATTCTTCTATCACTAAAGGGTAAATCTACATGAACGCCCCAATCAGGGTTACCAATCACTACGGGTTAGCCAAAACAAGTACTAGTGTTGATGGAGACGAAGTGCTTGCACCACCTCGGCAGTGCACCCTACAACCCCCATGCGCCCCTTCATTCAATGTTGGCGGTACGCCTCTGAGGAGGTGCATGACTTTGCACATTCAATTAATACTTATTGTCTTTTTCCTCTTTTCCCACTGTTCGCTGTGGTCCCAATGCTAAAGAGGGAGAACGAAGGTGGCAAGAAAGGTTCGCACACAGAGGTCCAGGATTTTGTCTATCGAACGTTTGAACACTCCCTCTATCTAGAGTAGAGCAAGCGAAGTCACATCCAACTTGACTTTTTACCTAGTTCCCTGCAAACGAATCGCTCCGCCCCGCGCTCAACTGAACGAACCATGTGCAAAACCGGGGAAGACACGCGGCAATTCGTTTCAGTTGGATGGCGATGGCATCTACCTGAACAACTGCCACGATGGCCTGCATGGCCCCATCGACGCGCGGCCGCACACGGGTGTCCGCGCGACGGGCCGTTTTCGGCGCCGAAAACGGGCGGCGCCTTGGGCGGAGCGGAGGTCGGCAGGGCCGCCATTGTAAACAGGCGTACTATGGGCGTACTTCGAAGCTCCATAGAGTCCCCCATGGCTTTGAAGACATGCACTTTCCAAGCAATGCGTTGCATAGTAAAGCAGAGGTACCGACATCAGATGTCGTCCCACCTGTGCTGGCCGCTTCGGAGCCAGCAGCCTTCTGTGTCGGCCACCATACGGGAACGTTGAAAGCATGGTGATAGCAATCACCGAGCTTTGAAGAGGGTTGTGCCACCAGGAGGATTGGTGCCAATTCTTTGGGACGAGCGATTTTCACGAGAGAAACGACGTGCTGATTGATTAAGTATCTATACCCAAGGTTCTTTCACGGCAGGTAAGGGATACTCAACGGATGATGCCACCCTGCCCCAATCCTCATGAGGGCAGGTCAACTAGATCGAGGACTTGCGATCACTTGCTCTGTTTCGGCACTGGAGGACCCGGGTCGCTCTTCCATCGATCGAGGGTGGTCGTGATCGGTCAGGTCGTGAGAGAAGTTGACCTCCTTTTGATGAGAGGATTGCCCTGTCATAGGACCCCACCTCCTTGAAGGACCTTCCGAAAGAACAACCCTCCGGAAGACCACCAGATGTGGCTCGACCAGCATCTCAACCAGGCTCGTCCTCCGAGCCTCTGAGCAAACCCGGGACCCTCCGACCCATCGAGTCGCTCGCCACGAATGTGGGACCCTCTGAGTCGCTCGCGACGTGGGGCCGCCGCTCTGGGCGAAGGGGGGAGGGACCGCCGACCGCCTCCGAGGAAGTCTTCTCAACTCGAGCCTTCCTGGCCTTAGGCGCGGGAGGAGTGGTCCGGTGGGCAGACTTCCATGCGGAAAGTGGGTGGCTTTCACCGAAAAGGGGATGCCGACGTTCTGCTCAATGCGAGACAGTTTCTTGGGCACGATGTTATACACGAGCAACTTGACCCACTCGTAAATTGAAGGGTCTTTGTCAAGTTCTGCTACCCCAAATATGAAAGCACACACAATTTGATGCCGTGAGACAGTTTGCTTGTCCTGTTCATGATCTTCATGATCATGACGCGGTCGAAACGCATCGAGCTGGGCTACCATTTTAAATAATTACGAACGTGGCCATGTCTGAACGAGGCTGGATACATCGCAAAAGTGGCTTTGCTGGGGTACCATTGATGCCATTGGATATAGTTGTAGGAAATCCAACTCTATACTGCCTATGTTTCTATTTAGATGCTGCCAGCGGAAAAGACATGACGGGATTCCTGTGGACCAGTTACTTGATCTGGGGACCGTCAGGCCTTCAACCTACAGGAATCCGCACTTTTTTGCCCTTCAATCAAGTTGATCATTGATAACCATTTTCATTGACGCTTTGGGATGAGTTTCTGGGAGGAGTTTCTGGTCTTCAGAAAAGAAGCACCACAACACACAGGGCGAGACCTCTTGGCGTCCAGCCGCACGCTGTTTTTGCCCAGGTCACAATGCCAAGAAGTGTGCCACGGCCATGGATGGCCAGGCCGCTCCGGAGCGGAGAGAGGGGATGGTGAAGGTGTTCGGTGTTGATCCGATGTAACACCCAGATGGGGGGTATGGAAGAGCAAATGAAAGGCCAATCGGCCAATCCTGCTTGCAAGGTTTGTGAGGTGTGGCGGCGTTTCTCTTGGTGGATATGGGGGGAACCTTTGTTTTAGGCTGATAGACCTCATTCTCTGACGAATCCTGACCGGACCCTGTGAAGAGGAAACGCTAAGAACACCAATCCAACATGTTTGGCATGTTGGTGTGGGGCATGTGATCATTTTGCCAAACACTCGGGCATGTAATTTCTGCAAGACTCTCACGAGCGATGGACTCTGTCGACTCCTTTGCAGACCGAATTGACACATGACTTGGTGGGACCAAGTTGCTATGGCTCCTGTTGCTATGGGTATGCTATAGCAACAGGTCTTTTGCCGCCCGAACCAAAGGGGGGCAGTGGACTCCGAACGATCCGAACCCGTTCGGATCAGCGATAAGCACAGAGGAACCGGTCCGACAGAAGCGCTGTTGGAAGGTGTGTGCCGACTACTTACAACGTGTAGTATCCAAGAGCTTTATGATCTCAACTATCTGCATCCTGGAAGTCGTTATTGAATACAATATATTTATATATAGTAGTTTGATGTTTTTACATTGTATATTCAACTTGCCAGCCTTTGATGGAATTTATAGCGGGGAAGACCATTCGTTACAGAGGCTCGCTCGTTCAAGGGTTGATCACAATGGGTGAAGAGCATGAAGACTAGGACACCGGACGACATCGGGTTTGGCGAGACGGAGACGGACATCTCAATGGGTCGGTCGTTTCGGCGTCCACTCACAGCTTTGTTGGTTTGTTCTCCCTGTGCTTTGCACGATTTTCGCGCTTGATCAGGAATGCGTGGACAACTGTGAAGGAGCAGGGCCCCCAAGAGATTCGGAGAATCAGACAAAGCGAACCAGCTTGGTTCCGGGAATCTCAGGCATCTCAGTTGGTCAGCAGGCTGGAACCCTGCTGACATAATTGGGCTTTTTTGCTTTTTTCGGTTCGAAGGTTATTTGAGGGGTGTCACTTGCTTCCATGTTTCCTGACATTGCCTCCTTTTTGGGAATAAGGGGCCCTTTTATTCTCCAGAGGCATCTCGCCGACCGTTCTTGATTTGTAAGTAATAATGACGTTTGGGGCCTGGGGAAGCTAGCTTTGTTTCCCGCAGCTTTAGGCATCAAGAAGCGATCAGTCCCTTTCCTTCAACCCCTCACCGGGCCCTTATCCTCGTGGCAGGTGGACGCACCAGGATGGACAAAGCTTGGTGGAAAGGCCACCAAGCCCACCCCACAACTGCAACCACACGCACATCGGGGCCACACTCAAGCCAGCAAAGTGGTCGGGTGGCCAACAACAATTGTATGGAACTTTTGGTTGGTTGGGGATGCTGGTGGGTCAAACAACATGTACTTGAGCCATCAAATTTCTATGTTCAGAAGATGCTCGGACCAAGGTTTGGAATCAAATCAAAGTCTGCAATGGCCCTTGTATCTCGGATGATTGGTGCGGGCACGGGAAGATACGTTTGCGACAGACCGTGGACGATTTGCAAACATCCTCATGTGCTACACCCTGACTCCCTAACATGGTCTTTTGGAAGACTACTTTCCTCTGGAACCAGGGGGTGAACTCCACTTCCTTGTCGTGTTTGTCGGAGTGTATGAACATTCGTTTCACATGTTTATGAGTGTGCACCATTGCCTACTGGGCCGGGGCTCAAGGTTTGCACAGCTTTGTTGACAATATAAAAGAGTCGTACTGGCTCGTTCTGAAAATGGGGTCACACCCCAAGAATATGCAGTGGACGTTTGATTGATTGATTGATTGACTGATTGATTGATTGATTGTCATGGAGCTTTGTTTTTGTGTCGTCTCCTTCAAACATGCGTCGTTGAAGCATTTTCAGAAGTCTCAATGTGTGAACTTCTCCACTCTCTGTTTGATCTCAGGCACTGAATGGTGGGGCGAGGAGCCGTGGAAAACGCGGGAAGGCATTCGATCAAGAGTGTGTGTTTTCAGCTCACAAATGCTGGAGTCAAAGGTACCCGTATCTTTTCTTGGTGGGGTGGGGGGGCAATATTTTGAGCAACATTTCTACAGATGCACCCAGAGGATATCATTACAGTATTCAAATAGGCTCCCTGTCTCCGTTCTTTTTCCACAACTTCCAGTCCATTCCCGTCCCGAGATCTACCGCTGACGGTTCTTTCCCGTCAGCGCTTCGTCCCCACATCGTCAGCGGGACCTCGTGACCGTCAGCCGCGACGAGTGACGAGTTTGGAGACCTCGGACGTCTTCGGCACGTCTTCAGGACATCTGGGCGGATCAATGTTTGGATCGCTACACTGAGGCCGAACGTGGAACACATGGGCGGTTTTGGGTCAACCAGTCTCATGGCACCAGACCGACCGGTTGACCTACGAGACGGTCGTTCCGTTCGCGGCAAATGGTGGACATCCCCAGATCAACTCTTGGACAGATCGTTCCGCAGATTCTGATGGACTGGGAAGGACACTTTTGAACATTTACTCAAATGGACATCCACTGAAGTGTGTTTTTGGGATTGAATCTCAGGGTTCGAAGAGTTATAATTTTAGTTTTAGTTTTTATTTTTTGCATTGAATCTGCGATTTTGGGAGGACCTTTTTTTTTGCAGGGCGACCCCATCAATTCTTTTTGACCGGAACATTTTTTCTATCTCAAGAACCAGCGCTGCGTGCTCCTTCCTTCGGGTGAGGTGCCAGACAGCGGGCACGTAGTTCAGGTCATGCGTGCCTCAGAGGGACACAGCTCAGCGGGCTAGGAATGCTGTTGATTTGATCCCACAGTCTTTTTTGTTTGGATGGCTACCAGTAGGTACCTGCAACAAGGTGGAATTTGTAGGACAAAGACAGGGGATTTGCGTGATTTTGATTCATTCCAGGAGTTTGATTGGCAACTAAACTCCCCGACATCGAAAGTAGACGAGCCAGACTCGACTGAAAGATGATGCCTACTGGCGCTGCCCATCCTGAGGGATGAACCAAGACCTAAGGGTCTCTGGGCCTCACACTTTCTAATGACAACATCACCGAAGCTCTTTGGCATTTTGATCTGCGTGCCTCCTTGGGTAAGTGAACCTCACTTTCGGTACTGACCTGTGTGCATGAAACATCCACATACATCTTGCATAAACATAGTGCTAAAAGTGAAGCTGAGATTGTTCTTTCGGAGGGGTATGCGGTGTTCTTTGAACCCTGAAGAAACAGACCGAGAAAAGCACTCGATCGATCTCTTTGCAGTTTTTTCTGCTTCCTGGCCAGGCCAAACGGGTTTTTGTGAAGACTTTGCTGCAAGAAGCTCATTGCAAGCCTCACGTTCCCGACTGGAGGCATTGGACGATTGGGACGGCAGATACGACTGGGACGGTGCTCAGAGATGGGCGAAGTGGGATGGCTCGAAGTGTCTTCAAGTGAGATGGGCTTGCAAATGTTTTCGTGCCATCACCCCCAGAAACATTTATATAGGTGTTCTTAGTCTTACGTAGTTGCTGGTGACCCGGTGGTTGTTGGACTTTCATGCTGTACAGGTCCTCACTTGGGCCATTGGAGTTCAAGTGAAGAAAGCATGGGACCTTAGGACAGCCAAACTGTCCTCATAGTGTTTGGGCATGGATATATTATGATCGGTTTATCGTCATCGCCATTTCTCGCCCGTTTCTCCGATTTCAAGGATGCACGTCGAACTCATGATTTTTAGCGGCCATGGGGTTGCCATCTCTTCACCATTGCTGTCGAGATGCAGGTCACACGGTGATTTTCTCCCGCTTGGGCCTCGGCTCGTAGGTCTTGCAACGATCCTCATGTCGTGGCGTGCCTTGGAGGATCTAGACGAACCGGTTTGATGCCAAATCAAAGAAAAAGACGGACCGTCCAGCGGTGCGTGGAACACCGCTCGTATTTTGCCACGTTTTTTTTTTGCTAAAGCATGGCGGGGGTTTATTCATCAACAGGTCTACATTGGCAAAAAACATGTAACATAATGCTTTGCACGGTGGTGCGGAAGATTTCCTCATGCGGAAGACATCACTTCTTCTTGCCTTGCCTTCTACTTGGGCCTGAGAGGGACGTTCCCAGTTCCCAGAAGTGGTTTGAAATCCATCGTTTTGGGGGGTGAACAACCACGGTTTTCCGACCTTGTCCCCGCAGCTGAGGTTCCATCCCTTCAAAGATCCAGCAGATATGGAGCGTTGTCGAGACCTCGGCAGGTGAGACTGCTGCGTTTAAAAAGAATTGGTTTGCTGATGCTCCTGGTTCCCGTCCTGTTTGAGCAGATTCGTGCTCGAAATGCAATGAAAGGCATACGGATCCTCATGAGGTTGGAATTCAAGATCCCGTTTGGTACTTTAGATATTCGGATCCTCAGTAAAACTCGGCGACCACAGCGTTCAACCTCCTTTCATCCATCCAAATCAACACCGATAGATAGAGAAGAATCAGAAAGTCTTGTTCCGCATCTTCAGATGGTCTTCATGAATGACCTCTCCAACCGACGGACGCTCCGTCCTTGGAACAGCACCGACGTCTTCCGGAAGCGCCGAGGCTTGGAAGCCGTGGAACAGCACGAGGTGCGGGGTCCGGCCCACCGGCCCCACAGCCGACGCCGAAGGGTGGGATCCGACCCAGGCAGATTCCAGGACCCAGAGACCCAGTTGGAAGAGTTCTTCATGCTGCCAATCTCGGCAAGTTCTACAGTTCTTCTATTGTTCTTGAGGCTGCGAAGAGGTTCTTTTTCCTGAGCTTCGAAGGGGGTGGCTTTTGCCGCTTCTTCAGAGGAGAGCGGACCCTCAGCGAGTATTTTCGTGAAGCTACTGCCCTCCAGTCACCGTACTGATGCCCTCCGACATTCTATGACAATCCAATAGATGATGACGGACCGAAGGTACCCTGCGCTTTGGCGTTTGGAGACCGCGGACCGGTGAGTGTCCATGCCACAAGCATATTTCAATTTGCTACCAGGACATTTAGGAGACTCTGAGAGGAGTTCTTATATTTGTTTATCTTTTATATAGTTTATAGTTATAGTGATTTATAGATGTTGTTGCTGTTGAACTGTTGGGTCTGTTGGCTTCTTGCCCGTCCCTGGTTATTTGGACTCCAACCCACCTGGGGTGTCCTGCGCCTGCGCCTGCGACCTCCGGGGCCAGGTGCCGAAGCAAAGTGTGTGACGACTGTGACGAGTAGAGTGCCGTGTCCATCGCGGGTGTTTGCTGGATGGAGATGTTCGTCTTTGGCTGGAGAGGATATACCCTTCTTAATGAGTGCAGAGACATGAAGAGGCGGTCATTTCAAGGACAGGTTTGAACACATCACTTCTTCCACGGCAAGGGTTTGAAGTCAGAACAAGAGTCAGGTGTCATGCAGGGGCCAATCATGTTTTTGGCCTGCCTTTTCTGGGGTTTCATGGGCGGTGGGGTTCCATCGCCGTTTCAGCAACTGCCATGGGGTCCCTTGCAATCTCGCACGAAATCTGCCAGCTGCAGCCGAAATCACCCTATAAACATGTCCGCGGATTCATCACCGAATTGAATCCCCCGTGCTCCAAAGTTATATATATATATTTATGTATCCCGGCAAGGGATCCCAAACAGTGTTGAGTAGAAGAAGACAAGGGTCGCAAACTTCCGCACTCTAGAGCACACATGAGAACACACACACACACACATGTATGAAAGCACACATATGAGAGCACACACATACATACAAACATCAGAGCACACAGATGAGAGCACGGGTATGAGCGAGCACACATATGCAAGCAAACACATCGAAGCACACACACACACATGAGAGCGCACATGTATGAGCAGGCAATGAGAGCGCGCCCACACACACACACACACACACATGAGAGCACATATGAGAGCACACAGATGAGAGCATACATACGAAAGCGAGCACACAATGGAGAGCACAACAAATGACAGGTTCACAGATCGCTGCGCCTGCCACGCAGTCTGCATTTCCGGGTTCACAAAGCGCGGCGCCAGCCACGAAATCTGCACTTCAAGATTGCGCAGGCCTGCGAGTGCTTTTCGCAACCGCGATAGCTCCCCCAAATTCTGAAGAAGAACCACATCCAAAATTCACAAGTCGTTGCACCGGCCAAGCACGCCAAAGACCCTCGATCAAACCCAGCCTTATCCCTTACCGCAAGAACCCCTAGGTTTTACGTGTGATCACACTATTTGGGGACACATAACACACGCATTCCCAGGGGCCTTAGGAGGTCATGCTTTTTATTTGAAATGGTGGTGACTGGGGATTGTGACCGGGGATTGAACGGCCCCTGCCGTCATCTCTATCAGACACGGTGCCTGTGTGTCGCTCGGTTTGTGTGTTCCAGCGATGGCGGGGGGCTCCAAAGGAGATCCTTGCCCCGAGCTGGGGCGAAGCTGGAATGGTATCTGTTTGCTAGGTGATTCGGAAAAAAGGGATCCTCAAAGAGGAGCTCTACCTGAGCTTTAGCATTTTTACTTGACCTGGGCTGAGGTTTGCTGAGGAATCGCCTATTCATGCACTTTGAACGCAGGCTATTCATGTGATGTAGTTTTTGTTGGATCGGCAACGACTTCGTCCAGGTTGTTAGCGCATTTGTTTGTGCTTGACCACTTTGCCGACTATCTGTTTTGCACATCAAACTCTCACTGACGTCCTTTGCACGTAAGAGGCAGTTGAGTGCGGCTCAAGCACAGGCAAGCCCTTTATGATGGAGGTTTGAAACACCCCCATGAATGGACTCTCTGGGAGATCTGCTTTCTGTTCTCCCGGTCGCCGATCCCGCGCATGTGCACGGTGCGGATGACATGGTTCCCCTTTCTTCCGCCCGGTTCTCCCGGGCCAGGCTCTGTCGAGAGGTCGATGAGAGCCCACGAGGGCAGCTCTTTAGGGGTTGCGATAGGACTGAGAGGACTGCCAGCCAACGAGTTTGATCGAGTTTGAACATGTTTTTGGGTCATCAAAGATGTACGAGATGAGATACACAAGATGATTACGATTTCTTTTTTTGGTGAATTCTGCGCTGTTCCGATTGGATCGCAACCTCAGCGTCGGAGATCCCCACCTGCGGGATGAGTGCGCGGGAGAGATCCTTTTTGCGCAGAGGAGGGGCTTTGACCGAATGAAGCACGTTGGAACCCAGATGCGTTGGAAGCATGGAACTTAGATGAAGCCTTCTTGTGCGTTGGCTGAAAAGCTCCCAGTGGCTCTGACCTTTGGTGGCAGTAACAGCCTTCACCTGGCTGGCAGTTGCAAGAAAAGGTGAGCTCAACAATGTGTGTTGCGACGATGGCACTGGCAATCTCTCTTTGGCGATCACTGAACATCTACTGCTAAATTTCCCTTTCATCACGGTTTCTCGTATTGATCCTCTTCTTTTTCATTCAGCCCAGAACACAAGGGTGCAGGACTAGACACCAGAAGTAGGGTAAGTGGTCTTTGAGAGGTTTTACATTCTTATTTTCAGGTGTCTCAAGCGCACATCAATGTGCACATCGGGGTGGGTTGCGGACGGTGGACTCTACTCTTTGGGAGACTGGAGACGACCTGCCGCTTTCCGACTTTTCGGACGGCCGTGGCCCGGAGGCTCCATCTTCTAAGTCTGAAGTGGCTCCATGTTCTTTGTCCTTTCGGATGTAACTTTCTTCCGAAGTATCCGAAGTAACATCCAAAGGCACTAGTTATAGTATCGGGTCCATGCTCCTCAAAGAGGCGACACTTTTGGGCCGGAAGGTTCTCCTCGACCTTGCGACTTCCTGCAGCCAGTTTGCACCAGAACCTCACGCGAAGACTCCGTGGCACCAGCGACAATGGTTTTAGCCGCCATGCTGCGACGATGGGTTTGGTCGCCATGTTTGCTGCTCCTCGGAGCTGCTGGCGACAGCTGCTTTGTGCATTTGAAGAAGCCTTTGGAGGTGCGGCAGGGCACAGCCAAACTGTCCAAAGTGTCCCCAGCCGTTGAGCAGTGATTAGCCGGTGGCCCGAGTACTCCAAATGAAGCAAAGAATGCGAGCGATTTCTTGGCTTTTCGCTGAGTCTTGGTGCTTTGGGTCCCATGCTCTGTCGTTGGATGGGAAGGAGTGCAAGCTGCAGTTCTTCAGATAGTGAGGGAGGTCTAAGCAAGGCCGTGGCCATGGTCCTATGGATATTGACACGCTTCACATGCTACATCCATCTACATCCTATCCTGCAGTATCTACTTGAGGATGGCGATGCGACAAACAGGAAGGATCATTTGGGATTCAGACTTGCAAGCGACCGAGCGATGTCGGCGAATGAATTTCAGGCGCCGCCCTTCAGCGCGGCGGAGGAAGCCGAGCTCTGGCGGCTCTTCGAGGCCAACGTCAACGTGCCGCTCGGCAGCGTTCGAGCGCGGAAAGGAACGACGACAGGAACGCCGGGGGGGAGGTTTCCCGGTGGGCGCGAAGGGGAGTGGAGAGAGGGTGATATTCAGTGTGAGAGTGTGTTGACCACCTTTTTGAAGCAACGTTGAAGGATCCTGGTTTTGAGGGGAGAGATCAACCATCAACATTGACAAATTCATCTGAAAGGGCCTTTTGCCTTTTGCGGTGTCTTTTTTCTGCAGCAAGCAGAAGACAAGCAAGAGGGGAAAAAAGAACGATCAAAACGACAAAACGCTTGACATTCTTATCATGATGTCATGCCAAACCTCCCACGCCCAACTCGCTCCGCCGTTTGGCTGGCTCCGGTTCGTTCCAAGGAACGGCTTGGGCGCTGTGATCGCCTCGCCGGGAGCGTGTCCGGCACAGTCGCTCGGAGGGAGACGGACCACCTTCGTATAGGTCCACCTTCGCAAGGGACCTCAACGGATCGAGCAGTTTCTGCCTGGATTCTTTTTTCTGACGTGCCTTCTTATGTAACGTTGGTTGCCCGAGTGGTCCAACCATGAAACATGGGCCAGCTCTGCCTCCTTTCCCAGAAAGACACACATGTGAGGGATGATGGGATGAATAAGATATAACAGAATGGATCAACAACATATATCAACATGGTACAATATAGGATTCTGCGGTTGATGGAACCCACAAAAAACTCTGGCGAAATTGGGGGGGACCAGTTCAATAGCGGCGCTCATTGGTGTGTCTTCTTGGAAGATGGAGCGACATCAAAAGCGGTGGGGCGTCGTCATCGCATGGAGCGACCATTGCTGAGGGTGGACTGTTGCGGCATCATGGACCCCATGCCCTACGGCTTTCATTGGACTCGGGACGCCTCCCTGAGCCTTTTGACCCTCTTAGAGCGCGTGGAGCGCTCCACAAGGCGAGACATGGGCACTCGGAGATTCCAAACGGACTTGGCGTGCACGAAGTGCTCCAAAAACAAAGACCCTGCTGGCGAGAGGCCAAATGACCCAATCTCTGCTCCACAGCTTCTGAGATATTCTGAGATATTCATGGTGCTTTGAGAACAAACTCGGCAAACATACCACCCGTCATGGAGACCGGCGTCGTACAACCTGCCGTCCCTGCGCCAGGCACAACGATGAACCGGTGTCGATGGCACCGTCCCTGCGGGCGCGGTGGACGGGTTGTGCGGGGTGGAACGGGTCACTGGCGCTGGACTCGAATGAGTCAAGACGATGGTGGTTTGGGATGGACAGGCTTTGGGTGTGTAGAGGTGTTTGAGAGCTCTTCGTCATTCTTGGAAGAATTTTGCAGGCTGGTTGCTAGGGCCACCGTGCGAGCTGGTCCAAAAGAGTTTGTATCCGGGGTGGCTGGGGGGAAGTTCTGGGTTTGCCTTGTGTCACTGCTGTTGTTGGAATGCCCAACTGCAGCAACGGTAGTGGTCACCCACTGAACCAATCATGGGCTTTCCTCGGTCGAACCACTCAGGTGATCTTGTTCCCTGGAACCCAATAGAAGAGTGAACATGCTTCTGCCTCGCAGAGACCAGAACCGCTTTTCTGGTCAGGGCTGGCGCACCTCAGATTCGACCCTCCCAGAGCTGTGCCTTGGTGCCGATTTCGGAGGGTTTCGCCGCGGTTTCGCCTTTTCATGTGAAGTGGTCTTCCCCCCCCTCCCTGTCACGGTTGGCTGTGGGCCCAGTGGCGCAACGTGGGCCAGGCTCCGAGACGGCCAAGCTGCACTCCTCAGAATCCGAACGGAATGACCACGAAGAGGCCTGTGAAGGTCAGCTAGTACTAACAAGTGCCACGCTAGTAGTAACAGGTGCCTTACTGGTAGTAACAAGAAGCTAGTAGTAACAAGTGCCACGCTATTCATAGCT